TTGCGCTAGTCTTCGTTCATTTTTGTTATTTCTAATTAGTTATTTTAAAACTTAATAATGGAAATTACAAGACTTTGATGGGATTTATTAATATTTAAATGAAATTTATATTGTAAATTTACAAAGTATAAAGAATAAAGTTCGTATAAAGTCAAACATAATTTCAAATTTTAATTGTAGCCAAAAGTAAATTTCAAGCAAACATTAACTTCATATAAAATAATTATCTCGAGAAGAAAAGTTCAAATTAAATTAACCAAAGAGAAAACTAATAAAAAATTAATAAGAAAAGACAATGAAAGCAGACGAACGAAAAGTACAGGAAGTTGGAAAATTTTTTGAAAGGCTTGAGACCGTAAAGAGATAAGGCTGCAAAAAATTGAAAAGGAAGAAGTTGAGACTATAAACATAAAAAGAAACTTAAAAATTTTTTAAAACTGAGCACAAAGAATAATTTCAATGTCCTTTGAGATACAAAGTAAATGCATACGAAATGTTAGCTGGATATGGCATGCATTTGTGGCAATAATTAATATATTCAGGATAATTAACAAAGCATGGAACAATATGAAAGACATTATATTGCAAAGATATATATATAATAACAAATGTAATGGTTAATTTAAAAGTGAAATGTCATCAAATAAACTTATTTCACTATTTTTCTTTTCAATTTTTGTATTAAAGTTATTAAATAACTCACTCTTTGCTTATGAATGAGATAGCAAACAAATTATAATGTTTGAAAAATCTTAAAATATTAATTAAAATGGAACAAAAAATATAAATAAAATATTTGGAATTTTTATCTTAATTTATCTCTATGATTTCTTTTCACATATTCTGAAAATTCTTTTATTAATACTTCATAAACATATTTGTATATTACAAATTCTATTTGAAATTCAATACATCTGTAAACTGAGGTCAACAAAATTTATTTGTCATCAATATGTCCTTAAAATTATTAATATTGATAAATTTATTTCATTGCTCTTTAAAAATGCAAATTGTTATTTGTATTTATTTTTTATTTTAACATAAAAATTTTATTTAATGTCTTTACTACCAAGAGTTTTTATCTTTTATTATTTCTTAATATTTTATGTTACCTGTAAGCTATCCTTTCACTTCAGCACTTCACTACATATCTCATCTAATTTTATTATCATCTTGATTATTATATACTTCAATAGCTTCCTTGATAAATATTGAAATATTGTAACTTAAGTCAAAACAAAAAGTATTTTGATTTTTATGACCCTGCAGTAAAAGGAACACAACGATACATTCTAAAGGACATATGCATATTCTATAAGTAATATCTCCTTAAAATAAATTAAAAAATAACAATAAAAAATTATTTTTTTTCTACAGCTAACTATCTACTTCAAATAGAAGAGGAGATAATAGTAACGAAATGCTCAAGCCCAACAAAATTTTTATTTTTTAATTAACTGATTTCTTGAGCTGCCCATACAACTATTTTGGATACCGCTAAATATTCATCACCAGTGGTCTTTCTAGATATCTGATGACGATACCAGTATATAGATGCAAGGTTACAAGAGTCAACATTTGAATCTAGCCAAATTTAAACCTGGATATTTAATAGTAATGAATAAAGCTAGAGAAGAAATAAATAGTAAGAAGAGCATATCATACTTACAGCCTATATTGGTTGGCTAATATAGTTTTAGTAAAAATATGAAAAGCATTTATATAGAAAGATACTCAAAAAGGTGATTCAAAGGCAGTTAATGAAAAGTATTTTATATTAAATAATAAAATTTAATATTAAATTCTAAATTTAATTAAATATTTATAATTCATATAAATTAACTCTAAACTACAAAGTATTTAGGAATATAAGTTAGTGTGGAAGTCTTACTTGGGACCCCACAATATAAGAACAGAAGAAAGATATGACTGGAATGAAAGTTTTAATTGAGACATCAAATCTTACTTAGGTCAACACTATATTAGAACAAAACAAACACTTAACTACAGTGGAATCTTTATATTAAAACTAAACAGGGGACACGACTATGATGAAACAGAAAAGGGACCCTGTTAGGGTTAAAGTCTTATTTGGAACACCATTATATTACAATAGGCATACTCGTACTTTTTAGGCAATAGCTAGAAAGTGTGTCCTACAGGGAATATAACTACATAAAAAAAATTAATCATAAATATAGCTACAGTGAAAGTTTTACTTGGTACACTATCACATAAAAAATCCAGAAATACGTTTAAATTGGGATTCTTACTTGGGGTATTACTACATTAAAACTGCATATTCTCACTTACATAGTCTTATAGTCTTACTTGGAGTATTATTACATTAAAACTGTACTGAGTGTAAGCTAGAGTGGAACTCTTGAGAAATCAGTTTATTAAGTCAGAATAGGGACATTGATCCAATGGAAATCTTATAAACATCATAGTTTTGTAACTGGTCATAAACTGAAAGATAGCTAAAGAAAAACGATAACTTGGGATACCGTTAAAGTAATATAGAAATGAACATAGCTAGAGGTCAAGTTTTTTGTAGGAACACTTACTTGAAGGATTACTATATAAAACAGCATCCATCGAGCATCATTTTACTACTAATGTTTGTAACAGAACAAGAAGATAGGTACAATTGAAGTCTTGCTTGGAACACAACTACATTAGTTCAGAACAAAGAAATAGCTAGAGTATAAGTACAACTTGAAATACTATTATATAAAACATAAAAAATATATAGCTAGAACGTAAGTCTTATCTAAGGCATCCGTGTAGAAGATTAGTCAAGTAAGTATGATGGTTAGAGGAATTGGAAGGACTCATTCTATTAACTATAATTAAGTTACAAAACTGTGTATTGGAGTTAAGAAATAATTTGTCAATAAAGAACTAATAAAATAGAACAGCACGTCTTTCGTTATACCATCACATGTTTAAACAAGTTATTGATTAGAATATGTCCACACGCTAAGCCTACCATGATAAAAACCATAATTATCGAGGACGAGTTATATACCTGCTAATTTTTACGTCATTTAAAATTCGTTGTATTACATAAAAATTAATAACAATTATATTATATACATAAAGCTTACAGCTATGGCATTTTAGCCGTCTGCCGAAAGAGACAGGATCATTCCTGTAGTCAGTCTTCGTTTACTTCAAATGCAAAGTAAAACCACCTTTCAACTAAGTATATTCAAATAATTTTTAAATTTTTGTAAAACAACTGAGCTTTCAATAATTTTTTGATGGCTAATAAATTTGAGAGATATTGAAAGTGTTGTCTTTCGGATCTAAAATGCTTCCCACCATAACTGCTGGCATTGTTTATTTTATATTTTAATAGATGCAAAAATATCTGCAGTTACTAATATGAATTTACTTTGTGGTTCGTCATCCATATTTAAAATTCCATACCGATGCTTTCTTGTCAATGCTATTAAAAATTTCTTACACTCCTAGGAATGCCAGCACACAGTAGTGCATTGGCAGCTTGTGGTGCATTACAGCAGGAGTCCTGTAAGCTGAGTAGATAAAGTTGCTCATACGCAAGCGAGTATCTAAATGTTTAAAAGTTTTCCAATACAAATTCTTCTTATTTAGTGTTAGCGACATACTTTCATATCTAAATTTGTGAGTTGGCATGGAAAAAATTTAAATTGGCATTGTAGGTATATGTGAAATATGTTCACTTTACTTCACCTTATGTTGCTCTTATTTGTAAATTTGTTATATACCATATAGGCAATGTTGTTGTATATAGACATATCCTGAGTGTGCAAGATATGTAGATGAGTAAGTATTTTTATTGGCTTTTAAATGAAATATAAAATTATTTTATAAGCATTTTCTTTGCTTCCTTTGTAGTACACTTTTAAGGAGTGTAATTTTATGTAAAATCAGATTTTTAATTTAATGCGTTTGATATCTGTTAATATTTTTTTTTCATTTTATTTATTTGTTCAGTTAATGTTTCTTCATATTTTTTGTATGTCATATGTTCTCCGGAGGTCGATATTGGTGTTAGACTCTCCGTAGATTCTGGTTGAGTAAATCTATCTTGATTCACGCAAGCAGAGTAGAGGTAACACCTCCTTCAGATATAAAACTGTTGGAGATTTGAGTGTCTATAAGAAACATTTTAAATTATATTTAATCTAAATTTAAAGTTGGCTATGAGTTTTAAACATAAATAAATGATAGCTATTTCAGAAATTTTCAGTTCAAACAAAAAGAAATTGTCTATAGTATCAAAAATTATCTTCCATTTGGCGCATTACATTTTAAGAATCTTTTGGTACCAAATTACTTCTAGTATTTGCTAACATGTCGTCACGTGACAAGGAAACAGAAAAAAAACTAGTAAGTGCAACGGATTCTTTCAGTAATTGTACAGTTGTTATCATAGATAGTCATTGTCCAGTTCTTATCATAGATAGTCGTTCTTATCATAGATAAAATTATTCATATATGTGTATTATTTATTTGTGTAAATAACAAATTTACAAATATCCACAGCATATGCAGTCTGATAAGCTAAGATTATGTTATCAGAGTCTCAACAATTTAGAAAAAATCCAGCAACAAATCACAAACTTGGAGGCAGGTCTTCGCGTCCTAAAAGCACGTTTCCTTAAGATAAAGAAAGAGCACGGTAAAATGCAATCACCGCTTGAATTGGGGAAAATCAAAGGAGCAATTGACGAAAAGGAACCTATTGAAGTTCCTCTCTGCACACAAATGTTAGAGGAATGTGAAATGGATGTAACCTCTGAAAATAGACCATACAACTTGGCGAAGGCAAGCAATTACGAACTGGAATATCATGATTTGGATGACGTATGGAACAAATGACGCATAAGTTATTTTCTGGCTAGTGACGAAGTTATGAATTTGCAATTTCCAAAACTATTTAAACGGTACAATCATTGACTTAAAATAAATAATAAATTTATTTTAAATTAAATAAATTCTTGTCCCTTTATCGTTAAATACGAGAAAATTATTTATTCGCTTTGGCATGTAACATAATTTTCTAGTTGAACTTACACTTACACTTAGTAATCCCTTTATTGTGATAAGACCTGCACTCGCCAATTATGTACAATACGCCATAAATATGTGATATCGCACTTGCGACACACGGCGGTGTAAACTCGACATTGATTACACGCCAAGGAAAAGTCTTGTAGAATTTAGTACATTCATTCATGTTCAGATTTAATAACTTAGAAATGATTTAAGTACTAGCACTCAAGCATTACACTATTTTTTGTAAACATTATTTACTTATTTATTATAATATATAATATAAGCTATTATTCACGAAAAAGAAATTAAATCTTTAAAAAAATTTCGAGAAGAATAAAGTTCTGGATAAAAAAAATTAAAGAGGACCGTGTCAGCATCAATTTAAATGAACATTTGTCTATAAGTAATTTACTTTCGAAGTGCATGTCTCGTTAGCTGAAAGTTGACCAAAAAGGAGTAGTTTACACCTATTAAAGACAGACAAAATGGACTTTATGCATCGGTATATAACAATGGATGAATCTTGGATCCATCAGTTTACTTTAGAATCGAATTGGCAGTCAGCTGAGTGAACAGCAGCCGGTGAACCGCATCCAAAGCCGCCTGAATCGCAACAGACAGTTGGCAAGTTTATGATGTCTGTATTTTCGGATGGTCATTAAGCTAATATGGGGCTTCTGGTTTTTATATGAAAACTGTGGAACCAACAAACGGCTTTACTTGAAGTCATGGCAATACTTGAAGAATACTAACCTTTGTAAAAATTTCTATTGAAATAAAAAAATTATGTTTAATTTGAAATTTTCTGATGGCATTATCAAAAGTTTGAAATACAGCAAAGCAGTAGTTTTTACTCAGAAAAGCTGTAAATATATTCTTGTTAATACTTTTGACTTGCTCTTTAGTACCAAGTTCTATTAAGGCATAACATATCTTCAGGTTATTACAGGCAACATATTCGAGAGCAGCATTTTCTCAAAAATTGAGAGGTGGAGAGGCAGATTATTGGTCTTCTTAGACAAATATAAGTAATTTCCATTCTTTGAAATCATTTGTATTTGAGAAATTTTTCATTGCTTTGGATAGTTGCTCAGGAAAAGAATGCTTAAATATTCATAAATACTTCTGTTGCAGTAACATCAGATTTACAGCAGAGTTTTATACCTTCTAACAGCTTGAAATATTTTCATGTAGAACTTATATGAGAATTACATACCTCATTACTCTTCTTGTAGCATTCATCCATATAATACGAGTAATAAATCCTCTGCTGAGCTTGCAACAAAATAATTAGTATGCCAACCGCAAATAAGTAAATTGCAACATTTTTTTTTCGATTTACTGTGTAAGGTTAAAACTGTACTAAGTCCTAATTGTTCACATTTTCTGAGAGAAAAAAAATTTGAACATAATTTTTTCCAATAATCCGATTAGTATTACTGCAAAAGGATATTGAAAAACAAATACAATGTACAGGATATAACTATGCAATATGCACCCAACAACAAAAATTTCACAGTAAAACTGCTAATAATTTTTTTCTGCTTGAAACACACTTGTTGAAAGGAAGAAGAAGAACTTATGCCAATAAACAGGATAAGAACTACACAAACGAGAAGTGCATAATTCTAGTAAAATACATAAACTATAAATATATATAAAGCAAATAAGATTGGTATTTGCAGTGCTGGGTTCACTTCCTTCTAGCAATGCATGGCCGCATTTGCAAGCACAATAGATACCTTTCAGTTATCGGTTAGCACCACACATACAGTACGTGTATTCCTTCACATAACATATTTATGTAGTCCTTTTATTTATGTTTTCATGCAGTTATATTTCTTTTATTTCTATATTTGCGGTGTTTGCAACTTTAACACTCTTGAACTAAGCTTAATAACAACAGCACACTTCAGAAAATCCTTCGAGTAAATTTAAACTTTGTTTTAAATTGCAGTTAAGTGCTTTGCTCCTACTTTGCTCCTACTTTGCTCCTACTTTGTGGTTCTTCTTTTCCTTACGAAATATCCTTAAATTGTGTTTGGATTGGTTGACTTGTAGGTGTGCATATTTGGTTAACCAAGATATCATCGGGTTCATTGCGGTAACCTCTCGGCATATAAATATTAAAATATTTGCTCAATTAGTTTAAATCACACAAACGGAATGTGAACTTGTGTACTTGAATATCCTTAAATGTCACGACAAATTAACTGTAAAAGGATTTTTTAATACTTCTTAATAATAATATTATTTGCTCTTTGTATTATTTCTTTATATTTTCATGTTCATGCTGTTTATCGAATCTCTTTTGAGGTTAAACAATTCAATTGTATTTTAATAATTAATTTTATTTTAAAATTTTATTCTCATACTTATGCATTTAATATCCTTTGGGTTTGTGAAATGGCACGAGTGCATATTACACTTTGAAGTTATTTTTAAAATTTTATAAATCCATAAAGAAAATTATTTTTCAGCTCTATGCACTCTACGACCGGTATAGGTGTTCTTGGAGCATACAGTAAAGTTATATGACAATGACTGATTGTAATTAAGTATTTCAGACAAGAATTTAGATAATTATAGAACTATAGTAATTTACTTCAACAGGTAGTAATGTCAAAAATTTTATACAATTATTCTGCAAATATTAAACATAATTCATTAAATAATATAAGCACTAGCTGTTCACTACGCTTTTATAGTTTCCTGTATTTTCATATTCAACGCGGAAAGATATGGTAAGATAAGATAAAATACACGTTGCAGCTTATTCCGTCAAAAAACTGCCTCACTTGGGTCCAAGAATTGGTCCCATTATGATCCCATTGTGTATAGAAAACCTCTATCTGAAACTTCGTGAATATAATTAAATAATATAAACAAGTAAGGTAGTTTGTAGATATGATTGCTCACTTAGTAAATAATAAGTTGAGTTTTTATGAAGATTTTTCTTATTTGTTATCCTATATATATAAATAAGATATATAATCTTTTACCTAACTAAACAAAATTCTTTAAACTAGATAGTTTGCTTGCTTAAAATTCACGGAAGTTTTTGATTGAGGGTCTTGAAATTAAATTAGAAAAAGTTTTAAGGCAAAATATTTTTGTCAACATAGAAAACCAAAAACAACAACTGAAAAATTGTCGAGTAAAAAATTAATACCAGTATAAAAATTATTGTTTTCAAAAAACTTGATATTCGTTTCTGGTCCCTGATATGTAAATTTTACAGCATATCGACAAGTGATTTCGGGAGGTGAACCCGTGCGCTTCTAAAACGAATTATGTGAAGCAGTTAAGAGAGTTTATAGTTATTATTCTGAATAACCGTTTTTCAAACTTATTATTAAAGAAGTTAGGAGAATTTATAGTTATTTGAGTGAGACAGAGAGGAAAATGTTCCCTGTTTGTTCTGTTTGTGCACCTTTTTCTCAGTTACTAAATGATGTGATATATTTTGCTAACATGTTCATACGAATAAACGGATCAATAATAGGTTATAAATTTCATTTGATAACATTAACTTAACTAATCAGAAAATATGGGTCACGTGACAAGTATGGGTCATATAATTCCTTAACTGGAATAGGATAAATTAGATTTTCTTATCTCCAGAATATATATGTATTATACCTACCTCTGAAACTATGGAATTATACAGTAAGCAGTAAATTTTACGTATGTCAACCCTTATGTATAAAATAGTATAAATTGAAGTAATTTGTTATAAAAATCAATTCCTTTTTAAGCAGTAAAAAGTTTGAAATATTTTATACAATACTTAAATTATTATATATCGGTCATATAATTAATATAAAATGTGTTTTATTCGGCAATGCCGAATGTAGCACTCACTGTGGTTACCTTATATTATGACAGCATTAAATCTGTGCGTGCAATACAGTTATCCTTGCAGCTTTATCATTTGACATGAAAACGACATTTTTTCAGAATTAAAAGTAATTTGTATGTAATTATTTTCCGTCCTTTTTCCAATCCAACTTTTATTGCCGATTAAATTTATTTGCAGAAAGCAGGAAAACATATGTTGAAAAAGATATTTTGTACTCTGGTATGTCTCAGTGAATATTCAATGCAACAGGCAAACAAATTTACAATAACAAATGCTTTTATTATATTATAAAATATTTCATTAAAAAAAAATAATTGTTTAAATGTTAATGTTAATAATAATAGTTTGTTTATTACGGATATCAAATTATGGAGAGCAGATTTTTCAGCAGGAAGAGTCAAACTTTTTTACAATAATAAGAACGCAGATTCCTTCAAAAAAAAATTCTTAGATTATTATGAAAAGAAAGAAAAGCGGTGGGTGGCTAAGTGTGTGTGATTAGCAGGCTCTACTATTTAAAAATGTAAACTGATATGTTCAATGATCCTTGATCCAAAATAGCAGACCTCGTTGACATTGTTGACGATATTTTTGGTAAAATAGAACTCTCTACTTTAAAAACTGTTATAGATACAATGTTTTTAATGGCTCTCGCGGTTCCCCAAATTGAAGCAGTTAAATTTTTCCAGCAGAACAACATTTTCTTTACATTTCTTCATTAAATTTTAAAGCCTTGCAGTAGGGATACACTTCAGTCATAACAGTAATAAAAACACGCTGAGTCAAACGATAATCCAGAGCTGGGTTATTCCAGAATGCGAAATGATTGTGATAGCGCAACTAAATTGTATGGAATCATGCTTAAAGTTGATCTTTTGTTCCTCGTTGAGAACTTAAAGCTCACTTTGTCGTATTCACTCTGTAGAGAACAAAGCAGACCGAGTGCCATTAAGTCTGTCTCCACGATGTTCTGCTGCTTCCTCACCACTTATATGAGACATTGTTTGTCTGTTTCATTCGTTCAGTAATTTTTGTGAAATTTTCAACCACCTATAGCATTGCTTTCGTTCGAAGAGTCC